GGCCTAAAACATCCTAGAAGCTACCCGGAACTCACCCGAGCCCCCGAGACTTCAAACCAAATGTACCAACACATCCTATGACATCATTCAAACTTGTTCAAAACTTCGGAACGCTCACAACAACATCAAATCACCAATTTAACATAGGATTCAAGCCTAATAACTCCAAGAACTCTTAAATTATGCTTTCGATCAAAAAGTCTATCAAATCCCGTTCGAAAGACCTGAAATTTGCAAGCACGTCACATTCAACACTACGGAGCTACTCCAACTATCGGAATTCCTTTACGACCCTTAGATCAAAATCTCACTATCGGACCGGAAACTTCAAAAATTCGACTTTCGGCATTTCAAGCCTAAATTAGCTACGGACCTCCAAAACACAATCCGATCACGCCCCGAAATCACCCAACGGAGCTAACGGAACCAACGGATTTCCATTCCGAGGCCGTCTTCACACTGTTCCGACTACGGTCAACTTTCCAACACTTAAGCTCTCATTTTGGGACTAAGTGTCCCAAAACTCTCCGAAACTCAAAACTGAACATCCCGGCAAATCAAATAATAGAAATAAACTCGGGAAAAGCAGTTAATAGGGGATCGGGGCGTTAATTCTTAAGACGACCGGCCGGGTCGTCACGCCAACCAAAATAGTTTTATGTTCACTTGATACTATTGATGATGTATACTATTCAATTAGAGTTCATCAACCAAATTTATTTTGCAAGCATTGAAACTGACTTAGGTATAATTTATCGGCAATGAAACATGAGTACTATTTTTCTTGAAGTAAATGGTAAGATTTTAAGAAAATATAAAAGACTAAATAGTAGGAGTAACGAATTGTTTTGGCAAAGTTCCGTTGTCTCAAAGTTTAGGAGGGTTAAAAAATTGATGAACTATAGGTGCTCCTTACTCTTCTTTCATTTTCTTTTTGCAAAATCTATTGTTTTAAAATCAACCTACCTATTTTAAACGCAAGGAAATACTTTTCATTTCCCACACATAGAACAAGCTTTGTATGATTTTCAAAGGGTAATAACTGAATTTTTTTAGAACAAATGCCATAAACGGAACTCATAAAGATTATATAACGTAATCGCCTGAATTTAAATTCAAAAATTAACTAGGCCTTCCGTCTTCAACACTAATAATAGTAGAGCTCTTTTTTTTACAGTAAACTAAAGAAGCTCATTTTTATAAATTAAAAGTGATCTCTCTTTTCCATCATTTTTTTTGGTCAACAAAAGATTACTCTATAATAATTAACAAACGGTGTTATAGGGAGCTTGTTGTGCTGGAGGCACGCTGTTACAAAAGGAGTCTAGTACATAGTCTGAACCACCAAGTGTGGTTGTACTAATGGCATACAAAAAGATGAGGTGTTAGAAGTCGTTGGAACGCATCTACACGTTGGAAGTTCCAGTTGATCTGCCCGTAGTTGGTGTTGCAAAAAGGCTAGTGGATGCTCGAGAATAGAAAGTGAGTTTGTCCTCTCCATGGTGGTGCGATATTTTGTGAGTCTATCAGCGACGCTATTTTGCTTCCTATACACATGGTGGATTGGCGGATTACCCAATCGAGCGAGCAAGTACCGGCATTCATGTAAGATAGATGAGTAGTGGTGGTTGTGATATTGTAGCATAGAAATTACCTCTGATGTTGATTTCTAGTGGTGTTAAAGTATAGCGTAAAGGAATTTGTAATCCTTCCAGCAAGGCACATAACTCCATACAAATGTGGGTGCATGTGGTTCTGTTACCTGCGAAGCCTAAGATCCAGTTGCCCGTGAAGCCTCTGAAGACCCCTCCAAAATCTTTAGGTGTCGTATGCCCTTTCGATGCACCATCAGTATTTAGTTTAAAGTCCACGGATCCGGTGGATGCCATTTAACATAGATGTTCTGTGTAATTTTGGGTGGATGCGGGGTGTGTATAAGGTAATAATATTCTATTGCGTCACTAATTATGTGATCAATGTCTGGGGTGGCATGAATTGATTCAAAGATTACTTTATTTCGAGTCTTCCAGACATGCCAGAGGCAGTATGGTAGGAGAAGTTTTGCCGTAATTACCTGGGCAGTGGTACGTCGAAGGTTGTAAAGGATATTAAGCGGGTTGTGATGGAATGTAGTTATAGTATTTATTATAAGCAAAATATTGAGAGCCTATCATAATTCATCCTTATTGGGGCATCTAAATAGGTGGTCAATAGTCTCCTGTTGTTCGCATGATTGGCAAATTGGCGATTGGGTTATGTGCAACTTTGTTAGGTAAGTAGCTGTGGGTAGTCTATTATGGCTGAGTAGCCATATGAAATCTTTTATCTTTGGTGGTAGAGGCAATTTCCATATCCATTTATAGTTGAAGGGATTTTGGAAATTATGCATGGCTGAATACATAGATTTGATTGAAAATTCGTCAGTGGTGGTGAGTCCCCAAATTAAGCTGTCGTAAGACTTTGGATTGTGTATTGTTGGGATGTACAACTAGTTTATACTGGAGAGTATGTCAGCGGGAAGTTCGAAAGTAATGCTGTTGGTATTGATGGTGTTGTTGGATAGGTATGTCGATACTGTGGAGTATTGTTCAACGTAGGTTAGTGGTCCTTCAAGCAGACTTCGTAGTGTCAAATTTGGTCCTAACCATGGGTCATTCCAAAATTTCATGTTAGTGCCCTTTGCGTTGTTCCATATAGAGCCTTGCTGACAAAATTTACAGCCTTGTATTACTGCCTTCCAAGTATAAGAGGTGCATAGTTTTGTGCGTCTACCCACATATTTAGAAATGAGGAGAGATCCCCATAGTGTTGTAGGATATTAGAATAGCCTCCATGCTAATCCAGCGAGGTGTGCATTATTGTTGGAGGTGATATTTTGGATGCCCAATTGTCTCTCATTTGAAAAGGTGTAATTTTCGTCTTTGAGTCGTGGTACCCCCTAGGAGATTACGCTGGTAACGTTCCAAGAGTGTTGTCACTTCTTTAGGAATTTAACTGAACTGCATGAGATGGTTTGGGAGGGTGTTTAGTGTGGATTTAATCTGCCTGCCATGGACAGCATGTTGGTTTTCCAACCGGCTAATCTATTTTTAAAGTTATCAAGAAGAAATTGAAAGTCTGCCATAGTTTGTCTTTTAAGAAGAATAAGAAATTCTAGATATTTTCCAAAAGTGGTTCCTTCTTTCATGTTAAAAGATGTAAGGACAAAGTTTTTATCGGAGGGAGAGATATTGTGTGAGAATTTTTTTTGATTTGGTGTAGTTGATAGTTTGTCTTGAGAAGTGGGTGAATTGGTTTAAAATATCAATGATGGAGTGGACATTATTTCGTGCAATTTTAGAGGTGATAATAATATCATCGGCAAATATGAGATGTGATATCCATTATGTAAAAGAGTAAGTGGTAGCCATTATCTATAGTCAACCGCCGTAGAAATGCGACGAGAAAGCATTTCTAGACATAGAATGAAGATGTAGGGGGATAAAGGATCCCCTTGGCGAATGCCTCTAGTTGGATTAAAACCTTTTATAGGACTGCCATTAATCGATAGCAATTGAAGAGGTAGTAATGCACGACATGATAAGGTCAATTAGGCCTTGTGGGAAGTGAAAGTAGACTAGAGTGTGTTTGATGAAAGCCCATTTTATTTTATCAAAAGCCTTCTCCAGATCAAGGTTTAACAGGGAAATCTGCAGATTTCCCTGTTTTGCGCTTAAAGATGTTAATAATTTCTTGTACTATAATAGCATTATCAGAAGCACGACGTTTAGTAAGAAAAGCAGATTGCTCAGGACTAAAAATTTTATGCAAAAAAGGTTTTATTCTATTGACTAATATTTTTGTGATAATCTTGTAGAGAGTATTTACAAAGGCTAATTGAGCGGTATTGAGTGATAGATGTTGGGTGCTTGACTTTGGGAATCAAGCATAAAGATGTTTTATTTACCTCTAGTGGAATTGTTTTTGTACGAAATACTTCCTGGTAGAAAGAAACTAGTGAAGATTGTATGTGGAACCAATATTTTTGATAAAAGTAAGGATGTAATCCATCAAGACCAGGAGCTTTCATAGCTTTGAAGGAGTTGACTGCCTTTAAGATTTCAGTATTGGTTAATTTAGCCATGAGTATTATGTTGTCGTTAGTGGTGACGATATTATTAGAGGAGTATTGAAAGTAACGGTGGGAGGTGGTATGATTGGTGGTGAATAGGGAGTTGTAATAGGATTCAATTAGTGTATGAATATCCTCTGCTAGTCATAAATCCAGTTTCCAACAGAAATCTTTTAAGGCACTTATGCGGTTGCAACGACGTCTATGAAGTGTGCTAAAGTGGAAAAATTGTGTTTTGCATCACCCACTTCGAGCCAATTTATACGTGATTTTAATTGCCAAAATTCTTCCTCTAATTTTAAAACGTCATTGTATTGATAGATGAGATCTGGTTCAGGAATTTGTAGGAAATTGCTAGTAGGGTGAAGCCTAAATGCCTTGAACATTCAAATTATATATAAAAAAAAAAACACGTAGAATTCTTTTAAGGAAATAATTTTGGTTTAGTAAACGAGAGTCCTACTTGACGTGAAAAGAACAAGTAGTATCCATCTTGCCCATAATGTTATTTTCTATATTGGCATATTTAAATATCTTTAAAAAGTATATCCCTTCCTATCGAACGTAAGTGACCTTTTAGCTAAATTAATTTTGGTAAAAATAAGTGTTGCATTGAAAAACCAAGAACAAGAGTTTGTGTTATCTGAGTATCTGTGCAGAACTACTTTAGTTAACAACTTGACATTGTAAATGAAAAATTATTTTGTCAACACAAATAGTTAAATAAAAATATTACTCATGCTAATTAGCACAATATTGTTGCAAAACAAGCTCCTTTTGAACTTTAATTTTTAAATAACAGTTGGGACCAACAATATTATGGTAATTTTTTCTCACTGATTTTAGGCGATTTAAGATTAACTTTTAGAATTGTTTAGAGATGACCTTTGAGAAAAGAGTTCTTTTATAATAAAAAAAAAAATGTTTGGCATAGTGCATTGGGCCCATGCGCAACTAGTAAAATATATACATAGAAGCTGATTCAATGCTACAATTACACTAACCTTATACAGTGGGGTGACCGAAAAATGCATGCTTGTGCTGAAAAACCCATTCAAACAGATCAGTGCTGATGATTTCAGCATAGAAGCTGCAACTTTGCTCCACGCTCAATCCTGTCAAGTACCATAACTCAAATATTTCCATGAGCCGTTCTTCAAGCGTGAGTGCACTTCTAGCAAGGATCAATCAAGTTTTCGTGCCTCTTTCATTAGCTGCTGCCTCCAAGAAACGTGAAAACTCTTCTTCTCAACACCTGAGCTAAATCTATGATTTCGGATTCCCTAATCTGCCGAGTCATGCTAACATCCTGCCACAAGAACTTGCGCTTACCGGATACTCTGCTTGTTACATCAACAGTCAAAGTTGCTTTCTCTCGACTGTTTGTTAATGCCCGCAGAACATGACTGGAGTACTTGGGATGTGAGACTAGTCTATTCAAGAGTATGAGTACCTCTCGCATCAGCAAGGTCCTGCCAAATAGGAACACATAGAAAAGAAGATTGGGAACATGAAATAAAAAAATCAAATTTAAAATGTATTTGGAATCTGCAAGGTCTTTCCGGAAAATGAAAGAAACAGACAAAACAAAAACTGCTAATAATGAGAAACTCCATGAATTCAGGTGGACTCCGCACACAGGAAGGTGGATGGGAAGAAATATTCAGCTATATAGAGTATACATCAATGCAGACGAGTAGAGTATGAAAAGCAACTCCATTGATGCATGTTTTGAAGACTAAAATACACCTCAAACACACATTTAAGTGCCCAAAGATACCTCTCTTTGAATACTTCAGCCTGCTGAGCAGTATCCGATTCTTCTAGATCCAAATCGCGAACGAAGCTTTGCAAAATAATTGCAAATAAATCCTTTCCTTTTGGAAGCCTATAATTTAACAGAATCTCAACACCACATTTTCCTGATGATGCTAAGAAAGCTAGCAAAATTATGGTATGCCTCCGAAGCTGTAGTTCCTGAAAAATTAGAGAATCAAGGGTAACAGAAAGCATAAAGGGGAAAATTCCACTCTTGGAAAATTCAAGTTAAATACGATAGCAATAATGCAGATCAGTTTTAAGAGCCAAATTAATACATAAAAAGCACTCCATACAAATAAGCTTGTCCAACAAAGAAATGAATTCAGAAATGGCTAAAAATGCACTGGCAGGAACTAGGCACGTGCCATAAAGCGACAACTTCTATCAGTTGGCGAGTGGACTCCTATAGGGATGAGTGACTTATCTTGAGAAAAACTTATCTCTTCTTAGTCTTGAAGATCATGTTTCCATTAATGTGGCAGATGATGCATGACATGAACAAGTATTTTGTAGTACTGCTTCTTCCTGACTCACAAAGTTCCTAAACCATGGTGGAGATTAAAAATCTTAGCTTGTCCCTCTTATTCGTCTGCGGAGAAATGAGCACCCCAGTAGACCTGAAATGACAGGAGAACCAGCAGGATTGTGGTTTTCAACTGCTACATATCAGACTATGTTACGGGATTTTTTACCTAGATGCACCCCTGTTGAGTGTACGGCATGGGTTGTTCATGCGTATTCTTTAATTATTCTAATAAAATCAGCACCTACCGAACCGGATACCTACACCCCCATCGAAGACGTACCTATAACTGAGTCTGCGTAATATAGATTTCAAATACTTAGAAACAATTTTATCGCAAAGCCGGAACTCTGACACAAACAAATAAATATGATGAATCTATTTTAGACAGGCGTATAACTAGTATTAAAACCTTGTAATAGAATATGCTTGTTCGCCTCAAGCTCATCCGAGAGAACAAGAAATAACATCTCTGTATGATAAGTTTGAAGGAGCGTACCGGAAGTGGGTATCTCTGGAACTTAAACATGAGCTGAAGCGGTTGCGATTGTCATGAGATGTGGAGCATGTGGGAAACATTGACATAAGCTCTTCTATTTGAGATTACGGAGTCACAAGTAACTAATTGTTGGAGCGTAACTGTCAACCATATACAACCAGGGATGGAGTTATTCGATCACAGTGGATTCCGTGCCTGAATGTAATGTGCAGTCTGACTTTCAATCCGGTTAGGGGCATGTTGTCCTTTCCCCTATGCCTAGTGCCTTACTTTCTTAAAGAAGACATCTGTCCATTTAATCGGAATTTGTATTTCTAGAGGTATACTCCATTTAGCGATATCCCACTTATCTTCCTGAAAGTCAAGTGCCACACCGGATACGCATTCAGTTACCTTTCTAAGAGCTCCTTTCATTTCTCTTTTTTGCTTCTGATTCAATAGCACGGAGACTCGCGCAAAGGGTTAACAGTTGATAGGCAAGTCAAGCGGTTGGTTTATGGGGAGGATGATCGGCTAGAAGTTGTCAATAGGCCTTAAACTTGCCCAATTTTTCATTGTTACAAAACTAAGGATTATACCTATTGAACACTTGAACCCGAACCAAACTATCTCTATTGAACACATTCGACAATACTACAAATTACTGTGCGTGAATATTACTCGCCGTTGATGTGAAAAATGAAACCAATTAGAAAACGACATGCCATCAAAAAAGCCAAAATGGTTTTTTAGAAGAAAAAAAATGTTGACCGGAAAGAAAGATGTCCTGTAAAGCTCCATTATTTCCGATTTGTTATCACTTATCTCTTACTTTGTTGCATTTGTTCTTTCTCTTGTCAAAAACTAGATCAATGGAGCAGATCATTTTCTTTTGAAAAGCAGTTGTGACAACAAAAATTTCAGATTTGGCTTGAAAAAAGGCCAATATCCGTAAAAGCATGGCCAGACAAAGAAGAGAAAGCAAAAAAATGGCAAAAAGAAGAAGAAACTGAAAGTGTCGCCGGCAATACTTGGATGGTGGAGTCTATTTTACGAGCTACAATCTTGGTGGTCCTATGAGTCATTGTTGAGATGAAGAGTTGGGGTCGGTTCCGGGGTGTTGCTTTGTGGTCTGTTTGAAAAATTGAATTGCCAGTAGTTGTTTTTTATTTCTTTACTTCTTTTTCTTGTGAAAGTTTATTTGTCGGCAAATTTTGTATATTCCGGCAAAAGCATTGGTAGAGCTTGACGTATTGCAATTCCACGCACTAAATACTGAGTAGAAAGCACAGCATCTGCCATGTCAATGGTGTAAGGAGAGACAGTAGAAGACTTCTCTAATGTTTTAGACTTTTTAGATTCATTGAGATGGGTGTACTTTGATAGGAAGGTTTGGAGGGCGAGCATTACTTCTTTTTCTTGTGAAAGTTTATTTGTCGGCAAATTTTGTATATTCCGGCAAAAGCATTGGTAGAGCTTGACGTATTGCAATTCCACGCACTAAATACTGAGTAGAAAGCACAGCATCTGCCATGTCAATGGTGTAAGGAGAGACAGTAGAAGACTTCTCTAATGTTTTAGACTTTTTAGATTCATTGAGATGGGTGTACTTTGATAGGAAGGTTTGGAGGGCGAGCATTAGTGTCGTATGGTAGTAGGTAGTTGAGCGTTTTTCTACTCCGTTGTGGGTGTTAGACTAGTTTGTTAGTGTCTTGCTTTAGTTTGATTGTGGTACATGTTGTGTTCGTACTAATTTTCTGCTCCGGTTTCCTAGTATCTTTCCATTGTTCTGATTATTGATATTGCCTTTTCCATTTATTTTTCTGATTTTTAGGTCGTTGGTACTATCTTCCTGACCTATGTTATTACTGTTCCATTGCCTCTTTTTCATCTCCTTGTGCCGAGGGTCTTTCGGAAACAGCCTCTCTACCCCCAGGGTATGGGTAAGGTCTACGTACAAACCACCCTCCCCAGACCCCACGTGTGGGATTATACTGGATTGTTATTGTTGTTGTTGAGATGGGTGTACTTAATGCTATATGGTGATTTCTATACTGTTGTAAAGTTGTTTTTGCAGTACCATCTTCGTACTTGCCTTAATAATATTTACTTATCTTATCAAAAAATAGGTAAAACCCTTAGTTGAGGTGTCTAAATGAAGAAATGGGGCAAGTTTAAGGGGCTGTATATGTATTCAACGTTTTCAATATATGCTCTGATCACATAGGTCAACCTACAAAGCATGGACGCCGTCTCTTTATTTGGCATATTCAAGTTGTACTCGAGCCTAGATCAAACAAACACATAATGACACCAACCTATCCCTATTTCTTTGGTTGTTTTAACTTTAAACACACTTGTTACTAATTCTAGACATTGCCAAGCACAAAAGGAACTTTGCTTCCCTATTTGCTCTTTTAGCCAAAGTTTCTTACGGGACAAAGCAAAATAATAATAATAACAACAACAACAACAACAACAACAACAACAACAATAATAATAATAATAATAATAATAAGATCACTTCGTAAAATAAAAAGGAAAGTGAATCTCCAAACTCCTTTAATTAACATAGCCCTAAAACCAAAAGGATACTCAATATTTGAAGTAAATATCATGTGAATTACGTTCAAAAACCATTCTAAATTTCGAACTTTGACATAAGGAATGTGGTTTTAAGTTTGTAGTTCAGATTAATGACTTGTTTTCAAATTTGAATTGTAACTTCCTAATTTGGATCACTATCATATACTCCATCCATTCAAAAAAGAGTGAACTTATTTCTTTTTTAGTCCGTTTCAAACATAATATGAACCTTTTCTAAATTTGAAAACAATGTAACTTTACCCATTTTACTCTTAATGGGATAATTTATAGCCACACAAATATCTAATGATTGTTTATTGGTTTTAGACCACAAGTTTCAAAAGTCTTTTCATTCTTTCTTAAACTTCGTGCTTAGTCAAATAGGTTCAACCAAGGGAGTATAGTAATAACCTACCCTTAAAAATTAATCGATTTGCTTTTTGTATTATTGCTTAGTGTTGTCTTCTTTAAGACAATGCTCTTTCTTTGAAGTGCATGCAATAGCAACTGGGTGCCTACATTTAAGCTACTAATGAGTGAAGAGGCCAACTTTGGCTCTACTTGGCTTCCAAGGTTTAAGCTGCCTCAAGTAGGCCTTTAATAACACTAATATTTTTTTGATAACCGAGAAATATGTTGAGGACCAGCAGAGCCAGTTCCAAACTCAGATGATAAATGGGCTCACCTCTCTATCCTTCTCCACTTTCTAAACTCAGATGACAATTGGCTTGCTCCTCTACCCTTCTCTACTTAAATACCACATGTTTGTGTGCAGCAGGGTTCGAACCGTTAATGTGTGATTAACCCATACATCACATGTTGCGCTCTTACCACTATACCAAAATCATGGGGGCTTTGGTTTATATCACTAATAATTTTAGTGTTCTGTTTGTGCTGTGTCACACTAGAATTTCAGAATCTTTTTGCCCCTATCTCTGTTAGATCGCCCAGCATCATAATCGATGCAAACACCAGTAATCTATCTCATAAGTCAACTCGTTTTATTTTTTATTTCTCACGTCAAATTGGTTTCATGATCTCAAGGGTACTCTGTGGATCCTTAACAACTACTATAAAAATCTGATAGAGAAACTACTATTATAAAAATTTAGATGTGTGTGTGGTGGCATACACACATTCTAATGAAAAGAATGCATCTCAGAATACAACTGCCTGAAGCAAACAAAACAATTGGGCCAAGCTATCTAGAAGGTGAAAAAAAGAAGCAATATTTGCTTATATGAAAGCAAAAGGAGATTATGTAACAATACGAAATAAGGAATGGGCAGAAGATAGGATAATTAAAGCTAAAAAATATTAAACATACCTCAGCGTTACTTCCAGTGCAGGTGACACATTCTGCCAAACTCTCCAAGATCACACTGACTACGGGAAAGGTTGAAGTATTCTTGGAATTGGTATCAACCATGCCCACCCCATCTCCCTCCACGAGACAGCTGCAGAATGAGGCCATTACTCTTGGGCCTTTATTGAATAGTATAGTCAGGAAAACCATTACACAAAGCAAAAAAAAAACTGATAGTGATTTGGAGATGGATTTATCTCAGTAATATCCTTTACATCTTCAAAATATATCTTACTGTTGACAGCAATCTACCACAACTACCACTGTGGTGCATGGGCATACAATAAAATTTAATTTGGTATTCTTCCTTCCATAAAACTCTTGGAGAAGGTGCATATTTTTTAACTTAAACATAAAAAATGTATTTGTATTCTTGTCCATAAGATGGTATAGGCACTCCTGGAAGAGAAAAAATGATATAAATAACAAGACGTGGTAGCCAAGCAGTAAAAGCTACTTTTTACACATAGAGGTACAGTAAGCTAGTCTAAGAAGAATTTCCAGGAGTCAGATAACATCAAATTGATATATAATCATGTGACCCAACACGTGACCAAACAGATATGTCCACTCACAATTTAGTAGCATATGAAGAAGATGCACAGCTTTCTTCTTTACATGCACGCGAGCTCCCTTCTTCAATAGTTTTGAGATACTTTGGAACGGTATATCTGTCCCATACCTATATAAAGGAGGATATTGATTAAGCATATTACAGAGCTCCAAAAATATGCCTAAATTAATGAGAAAGTGGTGTTGAATTTACTTTTCCCTCTCCAAGTACGCATTACTTCTTGCAACAATCAGATTCATGACTGAAACTGCCTGGAGTCTTACATGTTCTACCTCATGAATCATGATAATTTCGCACATTAATTCAAAAAGAGGAAAATAGTTGAAATGAGAAGATATCAAACAGCTAGATCCACAATTGATGAATCCTATCCTGGCATAAGTATCAACAGTATCCAATCTCGGGCCATCAGCATGATCTTGATCAAATATTTTCTCATCATGGACATGGGGCAGTCCTCTAGATCCAGGATATACATATTCATACAGATCTGACGCATTATTCCAACAAGAAGGTCCCTCCATCACAATGTTGTCCCTGGTACAGTACACTGGAAAGATCAAATCAAAGCATATAAGGAAAATTTCTGGATCAGAAGATAGGGACCATTTTTCCTCCTTTTCCTTTTCTTTATTTTCTTTCTGGTTACAGAAGCAAGGGTTTTAACCCAACAAGGGATTTATCAGCTAGCAATAGCAAGAGAATAACAAAATGCCTTAAGAAGATTCATCGTGAAATTTGAAGGAACAGAAGACTGAAGAGAATGGTTTGCATGATAGTCAGTAGCTTCTAACTCTTGTTTCCCATTTTTTTCTTGAACTTCCTCATGAATCCAGACAAATGCAAGCTTCTTGCACGAGTGGTATAGTTTAACAGTTGCCAAACCCAGGTTAAATCAAATGTTTCTTTTATTTTATTTTGATCGTTAAATCAAATGATTCTTCTGCAGAGATGCTAAAAGAACCCACAATAATAGCTCAAAAACAGAATGGAGGCAGCAGAGCATGCATTTTAAGAGTGAATACATACCTTTTACCAAATTTTCTTTCCATACTGAAAGTGAAATTCAAAACCTCTTGCAGTATATGCAAAGACCTATGAATTATAGCAACCTGCCCGGAATGAATAATGTTACGAAGCTATTGACAATTAACTTCTATAGAATGATTAAATTGAAGGCTTCACGAATTCCCTTTTACTTCAACATAACATGCAGTACTAATTCAAAAGAATTATAAACAACAAAATGAAATATATTCTTTTAGTACTTTTATTAAGGCAAAACGTTGGTAATTAATGCATACTTATATTTATATATTTCCCTTATTCTTAGAGTTTTTGCTGTTTGCATAGTTCTACGATCCTTGGCCAATAACTCACCTCGCATCCTTGTGATTTCTATGGTAGTTCTTGCTTGCCACAATTCACTTGTTATGTGGGAATTTGGGTGATTTTGGGAAGGGCTTGAACCTCGATTCTAGATCATCACTGTTATTTAACTTATATATGGGTGGGGTGAGGATCGTCATGGTGGGTTGGACCTCAAGAGTGAATCAAAAATTGGATTTACGTCGAATCTTACTCAAATCACCATATCTATCCTCCTGAGGGGGAGTTTGGTGAGGATCCTGCCATAGATGTTCAGTTGCATATAGAAAAGGGGTACAACAAACATTAGGACCTAAGTGGTAGAACAAAGAAGGTAAATCCCACGGAGCAGCCTGTCCGGTGATGCAAAACCACTGTAAGTGTGAAAGGCACATTTCAATGATGAAACATGGGTCCGACAAGGATGTTCATATCTTTCCACGTGAAAGAGGAAAGGGGAGTATGCATAAGACTGGAAAGTATGGACTCGGGGTTTATCCCTCAATCAAAGACACTTGAAAGTTACAATAGATTCCACTCTCAGTTAGTAAGCTAAGGATCAGATCACTTGCTATTAAGATTTTCAGAATAGTCACAAAACTCTCACCAATTAAGCAAGCTTTTTCAATTTTAAGTGTTGATTAGCATGATTCAAGGAGACTTGAGTTAGGAGTGTTGATTAGCACGATTTCAGGAGATTTGATTATATTTAGGAGGTCTGATTTTATTTGATTTAATTTGATAGCGGGATAGATTGTATAGATTTATTTTATTTCCTTAATTAGCATTGGGAGCTTTGTATAAATTCCCTTGCTCATGGCATGTAAACATACACAGAAATACTCAACCTTTTCTTCTTCTCAAAATCTACATGGTATCAGAACCATTGCTGCCTTTTAGAGGTGAATTATCTCCCTCACGGCACCATGGTTCCTTTTTTATCAAGGAGGTCGAGTTTTCTCTCTTGTTGCATGTCCACAACACAAACTCCTTCTGATTTTCTTCTGATTGGGCTAAAATATGGAGACATACAAGACGATTTTTGGAGAAATCTTGTCTTCAGATAAAGTTCAGCTTCTCCGTCGCCTCCTAGCCAAACTTGACTTCGCTAATGTTGTCACATCCAATCATGTGCAATTAGGTACTGCCTTTGGTAATAATCTTAATTCTTGGATTGTCGATTCTGGTGCAAATAGACACATGACAGGCTCTTCTAAAGGCATTCAAAACCTAAGTTGCGCGGACTTTTCGATTTTGATGCCGTCTCCGTCCCGATACATGAGGGGACGGGAACGGGAGCGGGATACGTCCCGGATTCGGTGAACTGGCTTCGGACACTTTGACCAGAGTCCATCGACAAATTTGGGAGAAAAATTGAGATTTTGATTTCTCAAAATCAAAAACAAAACAAATTTAAGAGAATGAAAGAATAATGTCCATCTTGGAGAATGATAGAATTCTACATATTCATGCAAGTTTTTCACAGAATATCTCTCAAAAATTTACAATATTTTATAGCTCTATTTTTTATTAGCCGAATCCACGCACCCGTATCCATATCCGGATCCGAACCCCCGAATCTTAAAATTTAGATTTTGCCGAATCCGATACTGGGATCCGTCCCCGTATCGGATACCCGCACCCGAGTCCGAGCAACTTAGTCCAAAACTATTCTCCGTGTCCCAAAGAAGATAATGTTAAAATAGCCAATGGTTCTTTAACACCTATCTCTGGAACAGGTTCTGTCATTTGTACTCCTATTATTAAACTATCATCCGTGCTCCATGTCCCTGAGTTCCCTATCAATCTTTTATCTATTAGTGCCATCATCAAAGCTCTAAACTATAAAATCGAGTTCTTTCCCTATCATTTTATTTTTCATGATCTTCAAACAGGGAAAAGGATTGGCAGTGGTAGATTGCGTGATGACTTATATATATTAGATGCGATTCAAAACTCTAGTCAAGCCTTTTTTGGGGAAAGTAAGGATGTCAACCAAGAAATAATACAACGTCATAGACGGTTAGGACACCCATCATTCTTTGTATTGAAGAAGTTATATCCCGATTTGTTTTCAAGGACTCGATTTGAATCTTTGTTCTGTGATGCGTGTGAATATGCCAAGCATACTAGAAACTCTTATCCTATGAGTGATAATAGAAGCACAACTCTATTTATGACTATTCATTCTGATGTATGGGGTCCTACCCAAACTGTTTCTTTGTCCGGTAGTTGATGGTTTGTTATTTTCATTGATTGCTGCACTAGGATGACTTGGGTATATTTGTTAAAAGACAAAAGTGAAGTTTTCTCTTGTTTTCAATCATTTCATAAGATGATTTGTACTCAGTTTGATGCCAAAATAAAAATCTTGAGAACTGACAATGGCAGCGAATACATTGATAAAAGATTTGGCGCTTATTTGGAGTCTAATGGGATGGTCCATCAGACTAGTTATCCTTACACTAGTGCACAAAATGGGGTTGCTGAAAGAAAAAATAGGCATCTGTTAGGAGTAGCAAGATCTTTTATGTTCACTATGCATCTACCAAAACCTTACTGGGGGATGCTATTCTAGCAGCTGACAATCTTATCAACAGAACGCCACTTAAACCCCTCAATTTTCAAAGTCCTCTGGAACTTTAAAAGGTAAGAATGAATATACTGTTCCTCCAAAGGTGTTTGGGTGTATTTGCTTTGTCCACACTAGAAATTCTGGGAAACTTGATCCTAGAGCTATAGAGTGTGTTTTCATTGGGTATTCTCCGACACAGAAAGGTTACAAATATTATCATCCTCCCTCTAGGAGATCTTTTGTTAGCATGGATGTTACCTTTCGAGAATCTGAGCTTTATTTTAGTATTACCTCATCCCCTCTTCATGGGGAGAGCAGTAAGGAGGAAGAGGTGATTCTACCTAGTTCCATTACTGGACCTCTTGATGACATTGTCACAAGGGAAAGTGAAATTTGAGAAAGAATTCAGGGGGAGACTATTGGGCGTTTGGATAGGCCTGATTTGAAAATTTACTCAAGGAAAAATAGAGCAGAAGAAGCCATCATGCAATCTACTGAAGCTAAACCTTCTTCTATTAGTGAGTTATCTACATTTTCTAATGAGTTAGATGAACCTATTGCTCTCAGAAAATGAGTCAGATCTTGCACCACCAAACATTCTTTATCTAATTTTGTCTCCTATAATTCTTTGTCTCCCTCCTATAGAGCCTTTGTCTTGTCTATTTCTTCTGTGTCTATTCCCCAGAATTGGAGGGAAGTTTTTGCAAACCCTAAATGGAAGCAAGCTATGATTGAAGAAATGAAGGCGTTGTCAAAAAATGAGATATGGGAACTTGTCACTTCACCACCAGACAAGAAGTTGGTTGGCTGCAATTGGGTCTTTACTGTGAAGCACAAAGCTGATGGCTCAATTGAAAGATTCAAAGCAAGATTGGTGGCTAAGGGATTCACTCAGACTCATGGAGTGGATTATCAAGAGACATTTGCCCCTGTTGCTAAGATGAACACTGTTAGAATTCTTTTATCTTGTGCAGCTAATCTTGATTAGGACTTGCAACAGTTTGATATGAAGGATGCATTTCTTCGTGGAGACTTAGAAGAAGAGGTGTATATGGAGATTCCTCCTGGATTTGATACTACACAAAGTCAAGGAAAGGTATGCAGATTGAAGAAAGCCTTATACGGACTGAAGCAATCCCCTAGAGCATGGTTTGACAGATTCAGCAAAGCAATAATTTCCTTCGGTTACCAACAAAGCGATGCTGATCACACCCTCTTCATAAGACATCAAACGGGTAAACTCACTCTTCTCATAGTTTATGTTGATGACATAGTAATGAGACGAGATGACAAAGAGGAGATGTCTCGATTGAAAAAGTTGTTGGCACATGAATTTGAGATCAAAGATCTAGGAAAGCTGCAGTACTTCTTGGGAATTGAGGTTGCTAGATCCAAAAAAGGAATCTTTATTTCTCAAAGGAAGTATATTCTGGATCTTTTGAAAGAAACCGGTATGACAGGTTGCAGACCCGCATAATCGCCCATTGAAAGCAATCAAAAGTTACAAAGCGGAGTTGGAGAATCAGTTGATAAGGAGAGATATCAAAGGCTGGTTGGAAGACTCATTTATCTCTCCCACACTAGACCAGACATAGCCTATTCAGTTAGCCTGGTGAGTCAGTTCATGCATGATCCCCGAGATCCTCATATGCAAGCTGTCTTTCACATTTTGTGGTATCTGAAGTCTGCTCCAGGGAAAGGTCTACTTTTCTCCAAACATGATCACCTCCAAATAGAAGCCTTTACAAACGCGGATTGGGCTGAATCTCTAGATGACATAAGATCAACATCCGGTTACTGTACGCTCGTAGGAGGAAACTTGGTTACTTGGAGAAGCAAGAAGCAAAGTGTAGTTGCTAGATCAAGCGGGGAGGCAGAATATACAGCTATGGCCCAGGGTGTTTGCGAACTGCTTTGGCTACAAAAGCTACTAAGGAATTGAGACTGTATGAAAAAGGAAAACTTTCCTTGTACTGTGACAATAAAGTTGCCGTCAGTATAGCTCATAATCCAGTCCAGCATGACCGAACAAAGCATGTGGAAATTGATCGACACTTCATCAAAGAAAAAGTTACAACTGGTGTCTTGAGTTTGTTTTCATGTGCCATCGGAAAAACAGCTAGCTGATGTGTTTGCCAAAGATCTCAACAAGCGAACTTTCCATACTTTGAGTTGCAAGTTGGGCATGTGCGACATCTTTGCACCAACTTGAGGGGGAGTGTTGATTAGTATGATTCAAGGAGACCTGATTTAGGAGTGTTGATTAGCATGATTTCAGGAGATTTGATTATATTTATGAGATCTGATTTTATTTGATTTGATTTGATAGCGGGATTGATTGTATAGATTTATTTTATTTCCTTAATTAGCATTAGGAGCTTTGTATAAATTCCCTTGCTCATGGGATGTAAACATACACAGAAATACAAGAAGCATTTTCTTCTTCTCAAAATCTACATTAAGTTCATAAGGTGATTGTATAAATTACTTAATGATTTTCAAAATAATTATGAAACTTTTGGCCTTACTCAGTAATTCCTAAATCCAAAATTTCGTGACAATGCTTAGTAAGATGCCAACTTTCTCAAATTTCTCCTTTTCTTTCAAGATATATGAGATGGCAACAGCTTCACAGACCTGTGAATTACTAAACAAGTTTTATCATGTGTATTGCAACCACTATCATTAATCAAGACACTTAACTGAGAGAAATGGTAATTGCCATAAAAAAGTTTTTGATGAGGTACTGCCAAAAGTTTTACATGTTTAGAAATGTAAATTCCCATATTAGCAACTAAAACAGAAGGAAAAATGACAAATATAAGCTTACAATCGCACATTTTTAAGTCTGCAAAGACCAAACAATGCTTCTAACAAATCTTCCAATCTCACCATTTCATCATTAATCTACAAGACACAAATAAAGCTAGAAATAATGAGAGTTCAGCCCTACTAAGACAATAAGGTAAGTCATGCAGAGTATTTGCATAATAAGTAACATGGTGTAGATCGAGTGTAGGAAAAGGCTTATCTCAGTTTATTGTAATTTCTTGGAGTTTATGCAAACTTTGCAAAAAGTAGAACATAATGGAAGCAAAACATTCATATAGGCAATACTAACTAGTGTGGATTAAGGCATTGTCAGGTTGGTACGCTGTTAGTCCAGCGTTTACTAAGAGTCCTTTTAGCTGTATAGAGATTTGTATGTCAGGGAGGGGAAGCTTGAATAGTCACTAATCTAGAACCGGTGAATATGACTTGACAGCTCATCCAGGTCCAATTTACTGAACTTCATATTTCAAATGTAAACAGTTTAACTCATTTAGTCATTTATATTTTAGCTTTATTATATAACTCATTTAGTCGTTTATATTTTAGCTTTATTATATTTGAGAAACACTTGATAGAAAGCATTCTTAATAATTACTACTATATTAAAAACACTTGCTAGCTAATGAAGTGGTTGATTCGAGAAGAAAGTGAGGGAACCTAGGATTTGTGCAAATTGGATTTTGAAAAGGCCTATGATCATGTTAATTGGGAGTTCCTTGATTTCATTATGTTAAAGATGGGATTTGGTGCAAGATGGCGAAAATGGATCAAGTTTTGCATATCAAGTTATTAACCGGCAGATTTTCTGTCCTTGTGAGTGGCAATTCATGTGGTTTCTTCAGTAGCTCAAGAGGAACGAGACAGGGCAAACCGCTATCTCCTATGTTGTTAATTTAGTGATGGAAGCATTGAGTAGGATGAGTGGTGACCGGGGATTACTTAAGGGGATTTTTCGCAACGATTGGGGGACAAGGTACTGTGAGGATGTCTCATCTTTTGTTGCGGCTAAAACTTTAGTGTTTTGTGATGCTGACAACGCCCAATTGTCTTACTTTAGACGAGTGTTGACATGGTTGCCTAAAGGTCAACCTCAGAAAATGCGGGATTATCCATGTCGGCAAGATAGAGAATATAGAGGCTCTAGCACAAGTGATGAATTTGCAAGATTGCGGCTCTTCCTACAACTTATATGGGTCTACAGCTAGGAGCATCTAATAATGACCAAGCATCTTGGAACTCGGTGACAGAGAGGGTAGAAAAGAGGCTCGCAGATTGGCAAAAGAGGTACTTATCCACAAGGGGAAATTAATTAAGAGTACAATATCAAGCATTCCCACATGTTTCATGTCTTTGCTACATGCTCCAATTAGCGTTACATGGAAGTTGGAAAAACTTCAAGGGGACTCTCTATGGGATGGTCCAAGCGGGGAGAGGAAGTTTCACTTAGGTTAATTGGGAGACTGTCAACAGCAACAACCACAAACCCAGTCTAATCCCACAAGTGGGGTCTGGGGAGGGGTAGAGTGTACGCATACCTTACTCCTACCTAGTGAAGATAGAGAGACTGTTTTCGATAGACCCTCGGCTCAAGGACAAAAGGAAAAAAATAGTAATAATAAGCGGTAACAATAACAAGATAAGATGATAAGATAACCGAAACAAAAGAAACAACATGTAATAACAAATTTCTAAGAATAGGAAAACAGCCACGCTCGTTTACTTACTACCATTCTACCTTAATTCTTGACCTCCACACTCTCCAATCTAGGGTCATGTCCTCGATAAGCTAAAGTTGTGTCATGTCCTGCCTAATCACCTCTCCCCAATACGTATTTGGCTTACCTCTACCTCTACCTCTCCTCAGGCTCATCATGGCCAATCTCTCACACTTTCTCACTGGAGCATCTGCATATCTCCTCTTCACATGCCCTTTCCATCTCAGTCTCGCTTCCCGCATCTTGTCCACCACGGATGCCACTCCCATCTTGTCCCGAATATCTTCATTCTTAATCTTGTCTCTCCTGGTATGCCACACATACATCTCAACATTCTCATTTTTACTACTCACATCTTTTGGAAGCGGGGGTTTTTGACTGGCCAAAACTCCGCCCCATACAACATTGCCGGTCTAATCACCACTCTGTAGAACTTACCTTTAAGACTAGGCGGCACATTCTTGTCACACAAAACACCAGATGCGAGTCTCCATTACATCCATTCCGTACCAATACGATGTGTGTCATCATCATCAATCTCCCCAATACCTTGGATTACTAACACCAGATACTTGAAACTTCCTCTCATTGGGATGACTTATGTATCAAGCCCCACATTCATGTCCGCTACATAGGTCACGTCGCAAATTGGGAGACTGTCACTACACCAAAATGTTGTGGTGGGCTTGGGATAAAAAATTTAAGAGTTTTTAACAAGGTGTTAGTAGGAAAGTGGCTATACAGATCTGGAGTAGAAATGGATGCTCTTAGGAGGGGGTGATTGCAGAGAAGTAAGGAGTTGTAGAAGGGGGTGGACAAAGATGTCTCACTCCCTACGGCTATGGGCTATGAGGAATATTTTAAAGGGGTGGGAAGAGTTAGATGGGAACATTTCATTCCGGGTGGGCGACGGGAGTAGGGTAACTTTTTTGGGACATTGCTGGTGACTGGTGCAGAAATTACACATCCAAAATCACATGGCCAAACATGCATGGTATTTCATGTCAAAAGAAGATGCCAGTTCAACAACTATTGAGCCTACAAGGGAGAGAAGTGCAGTGGGACTTGAGGTTTAGGCGGAACTTGCAAGATTAGGAGGTGAGAATTATTTTTGCTTGATTTGCTTCATAATAAAAAACTTTCACAAGGTAGTCACGATGTATGGAGATAAAGGGAAAGGGGAAACGACATCTTCTCTGATAAATCCTATTACGAGAAGCTTCTGTTTAGGAAGGAGCTAGCATTTCCATATAATTCATTATGGATCACTAAGATACCAAGAAAAGTATATTTTATTTGACTTGTTGAGTTGTGTCCCACATCGGTGGGTTATGGGTATCTTGGTCTCCTTATATGGTCTTGGTCAATCCTCACATCACAAGCTAGCTTTTGGGGTTGAGTTAGGCCCAAGGTCCATTCTTATCATGGTATCAGAGCCAGGCCCATCCCAATTTATTGTTACCGATGTTGGGCCCCTATTTATATTGTCCACGCTCCAATTGCAGGCCTGGGCGTGAGGGGGGGTGTTGAGTTGTGTCCCACATCGATGGGTTATGGGTATCTTGGTCTTCTTATATGGTCTTGGTCAATCCTCACCTCACAAGCTAGCTTTTGGGGTTGAGTTAGGCCCAAGGTCCATTCTTATCATGACTAACTATGAGAGGGAAAATTTTGAGGGAAGAGGAAGATTACTTATACTAATTGGTGCTTCATGTGTAATGAATCATGGGAAGATATGAATCACCTCCTCTTACATTTTAGCGTCTTATATTGTGGTGGGAGATTATGAGGTGGTTTGGACTTGAGTGGGTATTGTCATGCAATGTGAAAGAAACTATGCATGTATAGTTGCGGTTTCAGACGGAAGAAAAGACGTAGTGGATGGATGTCACTCCTCTAGCACTCATGTGGATTGAATGGAGAGACGAGAAATAGGAACGCTTTTGATGGTGATAAAATCCATGTTAGCATGCTTAACAAGGAGGATTTCCAAATCAACATCATGGCGTTGGAGTGTTTTAAAAGATCAAGCTAGAAGATTGGTGGCTACATTTGTAATAAGGATATTTTGGCTAGCTTTGTTATTTAACCCTACTTAATTTTCTCACTAGCTTCGAGGTATCCGGGTCATTGTTAGCTCAAATACCAACCTAGTATAAATAGCTTTTTATTTCCATTTTTAGGGTAGATTGCTTGAGATGAATTGAGAGATTATTCACTTTGAGCGTTGAACACTCTTTATGTTAGGTTAGTTTAATGTTAGGGTTTTACCTTGTATCTCTCTTTGAACATCGCTTGGATGGATCAGATTGTGTGGCTCCATGTATGAGTTCATGTCTCTTCTTTCTTGTATTGATTCTACTGATTAAATATTATTTTAATTGTTAGATTATCCCTTCTTTATTCTAAATCTCTCCCCCTCCCTTCCTAATTTTGGATCTATTTGCTATCTTTTCTTGATTGTTGTTTGTTTATCAATTACTTGCTTCCGCGTATATTAGTTCGTATCAGATGAAGTAGAGAAAGATCTAGAACACTTGAGGAATAGCCTCTTTCCATTATTTATTTTTGGGGCACCACAAGGTTCCTATATGTAAAGATTGAAAGTCGTTCGTAGAGGATCGTGTCTTTTTATAAGGTTTTCTACTTTTTGGTATACTTCTTGTACACAAGCATAGTTTTTGCCCTTCTATTTATGAAATTTATTACTTAGTAAAAAAAGGCATATGATCAAAGTAATGAAAACTAAACATTATGTTGTAATCTTTAATATACACTAATTTATATTTTTAACAAGTTTCAACTTAATTTCACTTTTATCAAGAAACCCTTTATTAGTTTTGACTCCTACACACAACACAACATAATAGTATCATTTAATTGCGTCTCTTAAGAGTTCAATTGCCTTTAATTTAGATAAATGCATGACTAAAGCAAGTGTCAAAAGTGTAGGATATGAGGTGAAGAGTTCGAGCAAGTGAAAATAGGAAAAATCAAAATTCCAATTACTTAACTTCCTTTTTCCTGGTTGAGTGGAAGGTAAAGAGTAACTGAGTAACAGAGATAAGGAATACCAGTTCATACAAAAACAATCTGAGACATTGAGACAGATCTATCGTTTGGTGAATGATTGTTAGCATGCACGCTAGAGAAGCAAAAATAATCAGAAGCAGGAACCTGAAGGTGAAGTGCAGTCAAAGTGAAAAGAGATATCACTTAATGCATATACCTTGGTCAATATAGAGAAAAGATGAGACACTTTTGCACTCTCACCAGAATGAGTATACTGCAGATTATCCTTCAAAGAAATATTTGACTCCAAACTTGTCCTTAAGGGAAAACTCACGTTCAGGTATCCAGAAAGGACACGGAAATCAACTTCACATGTTGCATACAATTTTGAAATGAGAAGCCTTCCTAATCTTTGGCCACTAGACAAGTTCCATACATCCAACAACTTGTTTCTACGGCAAAAAGTAGCAGATAAATCGCTTTCCGCTGATAAGCTGATAGATCCATCATGCTTTTCAGTCTGGATCCCAACATCTTTAGAGGATATTGTACCTATGATTCAACAGGCAATGAAGAATGGTGGAGTTTTAAGAACAGGAAGGAACTAATTTTCAGGAACGAACCAATAACTGATTTTGTTTCCGTATCCCAATTTGAACTAACCGACTTTTGTGCTGGAGCTAACATGATCATTCGTAGAGCGTGCATTTTGGCATTCTAAGGATTTTCTTTGGTCTTGTTGGATGTTGACACCCGAATCTGTATTTCTGCAAACATAGAGTAGACCATAATTTTACTGGCCATTCTTTGTCATAGCGGTTGAGGGAGTTTACCCCACAACACTAGGTCAAGAGTTCAAGGCTGGTAGGAAACGAAGCAAAAGAGAAGACCATAATTTTAAAACGAGATTAATCCAATTCACAGTGCAAAGAATCATAACAGTTAGAAAATATTCTCATTCCAGAAAAACATAGATGCAAAAAGCCAAATGCCAATAGATAAGGAAATTAGCAAACAAATATACAACTCAAAAGAAGGCATATCAGCAAAAACAAGAACTTTTTCAATGTTATGACGTCTTCAACTTTTACACACAGCAAGAAGCAACCTTCACAGAAACTCTTCTATTTTCCTTTTAGAGTCTAACTGAGAAGTTAAAAATTTCACCAAAAAGCATGAGAAAGAGCATGATGTTGCATCACAGAGTTCCCTGAACACAGCAATATATGCATTTTTCCCCCTAAAATTTCGAAAGGACCAGTGTAGTTGCAAAAGGTTTTGGCACTCAAACCGTCAACTAGCAGTAGGTCGTACACATGTGAACATGGTTTGTTAAAAAGAAAGAATCTTTGAACCATTTGATCAAAAAATTCTTAGAGAAAGATGTTACTGATTCTGATAAATAAATTTGATATCTTTTCTTCCAAAACATTTATAAAAGAACTTAAAAACTTTATGTATTCTGTTTCAAGATATATTGTACCCTTAATGTGTATATTTCTTATATTTTGCTCTTAACATCTTTATTATTAGATTAAAATTTTGAGATAATATGCAAATTTCTGCCCTCTGAAATACATCCATGCATTATACTTCTTTGTCACGTACCCCGTCAAATGTGGTAAAGAGATTGGAATATTGTCAAAACAATAAGAGGTTGTTTGCAGGACGAAAAGGGGAGAGGAAATGACAAAGTTTCCTTTTACAGAGCTAAAAAGTTATTAAAAGTAACTTCTTTTTTAGTCCGAATTCACCTCCATTTAGGTAATATGGCAGTAGTACAGATTAACTAGCTAAAGTCTAAGTGACATAGAAACAAAAAAGTTAACATAACTTGCAATGAAAATTAGACTAAAAGGATAGTTTTAAGCAATAGCATTATGAAAAATATAGGCTAAGAAGAACTTGTAAGATTTTTCATGTAATTTTCAAAGAAAGGGATCTTGTTAACTCTGAGTAATATGTCTACTTATTGCTTGTCCGATCAGGCTATCTATCACCTTATTATCTTATGTGGTACACACATTAACCTCGAAGAATTATGGTCAGCTTTTTATGATGTGTCAGATACAGGTTTGCTCTAGAAGAAGAAGCACCGCATTCAAATTTTGCAACTAACTGTCAAACACAAATTCTACTAAGCACTTACACGTTCACACTCTTTGAAAGAGCAAGCTTGTGCTCCTTCTCTTTCTTCCCTTTCTTCTCTTTTTCCTTTCTTAATTCAATGCACTCTTGCTCCTGAAGCGGTGCAAAAGATCATTACCTACCGGGAATTTTCATCAGAAATGCATTTGAACACAACTTAAATCATAAACCCACCACACATATGGCTTACCAGAGAAATCCGCTGTTTTGAAATTCGATCTAGCTCCTTCTGCAATTAAAAAAAAAACAGAATAGCAGTAAGACATTTAGCAAAATGACTACAGAACCAATCTATTCAAAGAACATTACAGAATACAAAAATGGACTGGCGAAAGAACATATTACAGTATTATGATATTATTATTTAACCTTCAAATTATTAATTTCCTCTTCTTTAGCAGTGTGGGACCCGCGAGGAGCGATAGTGACTCGGCCAGCGGCAGTGGAGAAAGTGTCGACATCGGAGGACTGATTGAAAACCTTGGAGAACTCTGGAACTCTCTGAGACAGCTCTCGGGGAGGTGAATAGCTGACGTCGGCGAACACCGCCGTGTGCGGTTGCGGATCTAGCGGTTGTGGTTGCGGCAGCGGCGGAGGAGGAGGTGGAAAATGTTGCCGAGTGGCGAAGGATAAGGCAAGCTCTTCGGCTTGGACGAGCTGGTCGATCAAATCTGCGTCCCATTCATCGTCGAAACCCTCATTCGCCATTGTTTTCTGCTTCCAACTCAAAAGGTTTCTACTTTTTGACGGTTTATATTTTTCTATTCTCTGGACTTGATTTCTTAGTTTCGCGCGCTTCCCCCCTTTTGTCAGGGTATTGTTCGACGAGAGGCAGTAAATTTGAGTGATATGCTAAAATGCTCCTTATATTTGTCGGCAGTTTCGTTTTTCACCCAAAAGCTTCAGTTCCGTTTTTCAACCACCCACTATTTCTATTATTTGATGGGGGTAAGTTTTGCTTGGCAATGGGTAACATTCTACTTCGCTTTTACTACTAAGATTTCATTTGATTGGTCAGCTAAAGAAAAATAATTCTCGCATAAGATTTTGTATAACTAATATAATGTTTCATTTGTAATATTAAAACTCTGTACAATTAAGTCAACATTTGATTTTTTTTGGTATAGAACTTTATACAATTAATGCAATATTTGATTTTTGAATTACCAAATAAATATTTGATTTTTTATATCAACGTTAATTATTAATACTGATGTAATTACGCAGAGGAACTACATGAATGTACCATATTTTGCAATACTTCACGGCACTTTAGACATAGAATGTTATTTAACCATTTTTTTTTTTTTTTGCCAACAAAAAGTGACCAATAACATACAACATATAAATTGCCTAGGGAAAAATATTTTTTCTCGATGGATATGGTCGGACGTCATTGAAATTATATAGACAAGACAATTAACAAAATTTGAGGAAGATTAGAGGTGATTTTAACTGGTTCAAAGTCAAGTTTGTTATCAAAATTGAGTTTAAAAGTTTCTTTGTGATACACCTATCGTACATATAACCATACATGGATATACATAATTATATATGGGATACATAATGGATGCATATGGGATACAGAAGGGAAACCTGGAAGATACATAGTTATATATGCAGAAACTTCATCTTCTTCCTTTAAACTATCTCTACCAAATCATCCCAAAATTGAGATTTTGACCTCCTTAATATTTTTAATATAAACCGACAATACTCAATCAAAACAAAGCGCAATTATAAATTTTCAAAAGTTTTAACTCAAGCTCAAAGTTTCTTCACTCATTTTCTTCACTATCAAGCAACCAAATAGGAGTAATATTTGATGCAAGAAATTATCTATAGACGAGCCTCTAATAGCGCACCTTCTAATGGCACAAACTCATGAAGATTGAGGAGCTTCTCAACTAAGAGATGCGCTCAAATGAACGCCCGGGAAAATGGTAATATATACTGTTCGATCAAAAAGTGTTAAGTATTTTTGTTAAACTAATTAAATAAGATGATAATGGGTAAATCCTAGTTAAACATAATAAGTCCTAGATCTGAAATTGGTCGATATGAACAATGTATAATTGCACTTAAACCAATTTAATATAAAGGGGTATTTGATGCTATTGTTATGAATGTATGGGGGAGTAATGACAAGCAATAAATATATTAAATGGCAATAAATATAAATAGAGAGAATGATTCACCCAAATATTCAATGAGGTGAATGATTCTCCCTCTGTCAATGATGTAAGACAAACAAACGTGGGAATATAGAAAGCTTTCTTGGATTTGATGCGAGAAAATGTGGGATCAACAACAAAAAACGAATCTTTTTGTAAAGACAATATTTGTAATTTATTTAAGAGTCAACTTTTCATGAGAGAATTTATCATATAGGATATTACATATCCCTTTATTCTCTCTCTATTCCCACTTATATAGGACATATCCCTTACCAAACTGAAAGTACAAGTGCAAAGAATATTATGTAGAATATTCCTCTAAAATAGCTTATCACTAAACTAGCCGTTTGGGCTGATTTGAGTGCTCGACCTCGTCCCTAGTTACTCAGCTCGCCAATAGGTTCCTTCTTAAGCACGACCTCGGCCTAATCGGCTCTTAGTTATCCTCTCTTAGGCAAGATTCCCTTGGTCAGATTTTGACCCATACAGTTAGTCCCTCCGCCCCGTCGGGGTTATTTTCGGACGAGCTCAATGGGCGGACTTCGCCAGTTGCAATTTGAGAAATCTGAGCATGTTGGCCGAGGAGTAACCTTTTTATGGAGAGGTGACGATGTGGCACTTTAAGAGCCACATCTGACAGTTACGTCAGTTTGAAATGACATCACTTCGTCATGCGTCATTATAGCGCATGTTCCCAATAGTTACGTCGTTTCTCGCGCCTCTTCTGTTTCGAAATTAATATGGTGGCGTTTGGCTTTCTCGATTAGGGTTCCAGTATTCTTATAAATAGGGATGGGAATTCCTCATTTGAGCTGCTGCATTTCTTAAGCATTCGAAACTCCAAGCTTTCCCATCTTCTTCTTCTTCAGAATTCTTGCATCTTTATCTCTCCCTTCTCTTAGCGTTTTCTCTATTGTTACCCCTTTCTCATTTGCACTTTCTTCTTATATACGTGACAGAACAATGGCTAGTGCATCTTCTAACCTTGAGAGAGCTTCTGATCCTGTCCCGTTGAATGTGGACATGCCTTCTCATGAAGAAGGAGTGGCCATTGTAGAAGATGAGAGTTTCCCCACTGTGGATGAGATAGTTCCACGTTCGGGGAGGATCAGGTCGGACTTCTTGAAGCGACCTGAAGATGATCCTGAACCCGTCGTTTCTGAGATGGATGCAGCGGCGCTCGTTGCACTTAGGGCTAAATGGCGAATTCCAGACCATGTCGAACTTATCCCTGCTGGTAACGACGTGGTGCAGATACATCGCCCAGAGTACTGCGCATTCTACGCGTATTCATTTGTCGTTAGCTATATGCTTCCTCTTCCATCCTTGGCGGAGGACTTCTGCCGTTATTATGGCGTATGCTCGGATCAGCTCTCCCCGTACATCTACAAGCTTTTCCTTATGCTTATCAAGTACGCGGAGCTAGCCAACCGTGGGATTTCTCTCCGTCATCTGCTTCACCTTTTCGCCCCAAGTTTTCACAGGGTTACGATGATGCACCTTCACCATCGTGGGACCAAGGGATTGGTGGTGAAGATGGATGATAAAACTAATCACCATTTTTGGGTTAATTTCTTCTACGTGAGGAAGAAGCACATGGTGTCAAACCCTAACGGGTTCCCCGAGGAGTGGAACTTTGCTCGTAAGTGTTTCTCCCAAATGGTTGTTTGTTGTTTCTTTTTGGTGGTCTGATCGTCCTCCCTCTTCTCTTCTTTTTGTAGCCGAGAAGGATCCTCCTTCGCTAGTCGCCGACGTTCGTGACTGGGTGAGCCAAATTTTGCCTCATATGGTGGTGATCCGTGAGTGGTCACAGTTTAATAAGAGGTTTGGGCGCAACCTTCGTCCGGTGAGTCATTTCACTTTGATCTTAGTAGTTTTGACCTTCGTACCGTTTTTTCTCTCCTTTTGTTTTTTACTTAAGTCTTTCTTTGCCGGTAGGTCGGAGGGCTTCGAGGAGGGCGAGTGCTCCTACTCCCACTTTTCGCCAGTCAAGTACTTTGATTGGGCCTCTACTCGCTGCGGCTGCAAGCGAGCCCATTCAAACTGTTGTTCCTTCTCGGACCCCAGCCTCGCGTAGGCCTGGCCACCAGGCTGCTGCCCCACTAGTGGAGATTCTGGTTTCTTTAGTGTTTTATTTGGTGGATGAGTCGTCGTAGGGCGAGGAGGAAGAGGCTCCGCTGAAAAGACGAAGGATAGAGGTTGATGGCGGAGCGATCAAGGATGAGGAGCCCGAGGGGGGTGATCCCGAGTTGACCACGGCCGAACCGGGAGGTGGTACGGCTTTGGACGCAGAGACCGTGCCCCCATCGAATGTGGAGATTGCCTCCGTGGAAGGAGGGGAGCGACCAGAGGCAACTGCGGTCATTTTGAGGAGTGATCCGTCAACGTCAGAGTGGGTCGATGTTCCTTCCTCGGTCGAGGAGAGGGCGAAAGGAGTGGTCATAGATGATTACGAATCCAGCTCCGATGTTGATCGTGAGGAAGAGATAATATTTGACAAAGGGTTTACTCGGGTTGAGGTGAGAACAGATGGATCCTCTCGTTCAATTGTAATCCCTTTGGACTACGATTTGTTGGCTGACACAGCGAGCGTGGTCCCTTCTTTGGCCCCTCTTTGCTCCGCCGCCGAAAACATGACTCTTCAAGCGCTCAAAGATGCCGACTTGTCACTAGGCATATCTGGGATGGATCTGAGGGTGAGTTTCCTTCCTCGTTATTTTTGCACTTTGCGCCCTTCTCCTCTTTCTATCTTTACTAATTCTTTTCGGCTCTTCCTTTTTCTTCTCTTTTCTCTTCTTTTTTTGACTTTCATTTTGGAGATCGAGAGTGCCCATCGAGAGGAGAAGCGAAATATTATTTTCTAAAAAATGGTTTTGAAGTACCTCTGGTATCGTGACAAGTACCGTGAGATACGTGCACGGTTCAGAGTAGGCGGTAACCTCCAGTCCCTTAGAGATGAGTTGGACCAGAAGGACGAGGATCTTGTGCGAACCATTGGCAGATGCAGTGAGCTCGAGGGGGCGCTTAGGGCCAAGGAAGACGAACTCGAGGTGAGCAAGGGGGTTGTGGCCGAGTGCGTTGACCTTCAAACGCAAGTGGCGACCCTGCGAGCCGAGCTTGAGCAAAGCTCGATCAGAGTTGCCGCCCTAAGTAGTGAGTTGATTGAGAAAGTGGCAGAGTTGGAGGGGACCGAGGAGGCCCGGGTAGCGGCTTTGGCAAAGGTGGCGGCATTAGAGGACTCCATCTGCATCCTTAAGTCTGAACGTGCAACTAATACGAAAACGGCTGCGCTAAGGGAGGCACAGCTTGACGAGCGAATTGGTAGGCTCGAGAGAGATGTCTCGAGCCTAAGTGATCAATGCCGCTTTTGAGGCCGAGAAGGCGCGGTTATTGGCTCGGCCGTCCTCCTCTCATACTTCTGCTTTCCCCGACATTCCTCGGCATTTATATGAGATGTGGATCCACGTTGAGGCTCAGCTGGACATATATAGGAATTTGATGACGGCGGGGAAGATTCCTGAGGCCAATTCTGAAGATGCTCGTGTTAAGGCACGTTATGCTAGGATTGCCTGTGGTTATGACCCCGCTACGCCATGGACCATTGATGGTGAAGACG